ATGGTTTAGTTTTAGTCCCAAATATCTTTTTATTATTATTAACATTATTATATATTTTAAAATATGTTATGCTTTATAACTTAGAAACTCTAAAGCACCCAGGGCTGATCTTATGCAATCAAGATTGGATATTTTCACCAAGCTTGTAGCTCAGTGACGTAAGGCGCTGCTCGTTTTCTTTTGCATTTCGGTTCGAGTCCCAATAACAGTAAGGCTGACGAGTGGTTTTCTTTCTATGTCTGTTGGCTCCTCTCTGTGTGGTATTCTTGAAATCATCCAATACAGATTTTCTCTGTGGAATACAGCATACGAGAAACAACGGATGTTAAATTAAAAAAAAAAAAAAAAACTCATCAGCCAGGCGTAGGGGGTAGGTTTGTAATTGCACAAAAACCCATCAGTCATTGTGATATTTATTGAGGTGAAAAAATTCTTTATTCTTTAATTGCACAGTGTAATGCCTATAATGTCCTTGAAATCAAAAAAAAAAAAAAACTCATCAGCCAGGCTTAGGGGTAGTTTGTAATTGCACAAAAACCCATCAGTCGATGTCTTACCTGTTTCCTGGGCTTGCAGGCTGTTCAGTGGACCGTGAGATTAGTCGTGGTGCGTATAAGCTGACCCGAACATCCATGTTCATCAAAAAAAAAAAAAGATTGGATATTTTCATTCTTGCAATCATCCAATACAGATTTTCTATGTGGAATACAGCATACGAGAAAGAACGGATGTTAAATTAATTAAAAAAAAAAAAAAAAAAAAAACTCATCAGCCAGGCGTAGGGGGTAGGTTTGTAATTGCACAAAAACCCATCAGTCATTGTGATATTTATTGAGGTGAAAAAATTCTTTATTCTTTAATTGCACAGTGTAATGCCTATAATGTCCTTGAAATCAAAATAAATATACCTTTGCTTGATCGGCGAACTCATCTTTTTATTCAAAAATACACGTTCAATTTACTTGATTACATGCACCTTGAATCAGAAATTTTTTAACTTGGATCCAGGAGCTTGTTCATCTTTTCAATGTGATTATTTTGTAATAGTGACTTAAATGCAGGGGCTATTTCATATTTTAAGGAGAGACATTAATATTTTAGGAATAAATACAAAGTGAATTTACTTGGTTGCCCCTATAACCATAATTTTTTAAACTTTGGTCAAATGGCTTACTTATTTTTTTCATGATGGTTTTTTTTTTCGTGATTAGAAGATTAAAACAGAGACAATTATATATTTTAAAATAAATATTAAATTTTTTTATAAAAAAATTGTCGACTCAGTGTGTAGTTCGCACCATCATTTAGGATCTCTCTACATGATTAAAGCAGCACGTGTGACAATATTATGAGCTGGAAATTCTATAATCCTAACGGTGTTTGAAATCTCACGGCATTTCTATTTATATTCAATGGTGCATGCAGTGCTGTGTATGGTTGTTTGACTCTTTTTTTTTTTTTAATCTTTTTTTATATCTTTGTGTAGAAAAAGGTATGGTTGAAGCAAAGAAAAAAAAAACATGTTGGCCTCTAATTTTTCTGAGATATCTCATTCAATTCTGTTTTTATTTTTTGTCTTGATTTTTTTTATAAATTTTAAATTTATTTTTAATTTTATCTTGATTGAAATTCTATTTGCTCTCTTATTTTGTTTTGGTTTCATGCCTGATTCTTTTTTTTTAAGGGGGGGTTTTGTTTTTATTTTTTTATAAAATGTTTTAATATTTTCAATTTTCCCCTTAAATCAATGGATATTATTCCCCCCTTGTTTCATTATTTGGCATTTGATCTTCATTTTTTTATTATTTTTTTTATTTGTCAAATTGAATTTATTTTCAATTTTATCCTCTAATATTAAAATATTAATTTCCTTCTTATTTTTATTTTTTTGGTTTTAGATTTGATCCTTTTTTTTAATTGTTTTTTGTAAAATGTTTGAATTTTTAAAAACTTCACCCTTAAATCAATTATAATATTATTTCCTCCCTTTTTTTTTTTTGTCTAGAATTTGGTTCTCATTATTGAGGGTTGTGGTTTTCTCTTATTGGATTACATCAGACTTATAACTGAGGTAACAAATTTCAAAGATTAATACTGTATAATACTAGCTTTTTTTTCTCTTAACAATTGATATATTTTTTAATTTTATCTTTTAATACATTTTATTCTTGAAAAATTATAACAGTCTCGTGGATTACATGTTGACAAGTGTAATTGGGTTATTTTATCCCTATTTATTTGTAACACTCCTGATTAGATTGAAATATATCTTCATTGACTTTTTTTAATAAATGTTTTTTTTATTATAATCAATCATTCTTTTTTCTTAATTCAATACATCTAATATTGTTATACAAGATAAGTTTATTCAATCCAATCAGCTGTATGGCTCAAATCATGATTTTGTTTTCTTACTTTTTTGAAAACAAGTCAGCTGTATGGCTCAAATCATAATCAGATTTTGTTTTCTTACTTTTTTGAAAACAAATGTGTGATTTCTTAACAAATTCTTTTTACTCTTAGACTTTTTTTTTTTTTTTTGCTTGCAGTGTAACACAAGTCACAGCATGGCAAGCTGTGAACGGTATGAATCTCACTAAGACAGACTTTACGAAAAAGGAAGTCATAAAATCAATTGATGGTTGATGTATAGGAAATGATCATTAGCCAATAAGTTCAATTTACATGTTTTCTACTCTTAATAATGTTCAGATTCGAGCCACTTTGTGTACAGAAAATGAAAAAAAATCCAAGTCTAAACAGCTTATTTCAGGATAAATTACACAGATCATCTTGAGATTTGTTATGGTTTAAGCAAATAAATGACATTGAGTACTATTCCTGAGATTTTGCCCTCAAGAATCTGATTGTGCTTGTTGTAATTATTAATGTCCTTTACAGCAAATGTCAAGCGATTAATTATTCTTGTAAAAGAGATATGGCCAATGAATTGTCAAGTTTGCTATCAGTACTTGTCCAACGCCAACTCAAAGCCTAGGCATATAATTAGTTCTTAACGAGAGTTGATTTTTTCTACAGAAGTAAAGTAATATATAATCAAACCTTCTCCTGTTTTTGAGTAAATATGTTTACCAAAAGAAGAGCCATCGGTGCTGTAATATGGCATGCTATGATTGACAACCGAAAGATTTATGGTCTAGCTAGGGATAAACTAGAAGGGCATAAGGGGAATGATACAAAGAGTGGCAAAACCCAAGACTAGCTCTTGGCGAGAGCCTAAAGGCAAAGAAAAGTTCTCTCAAAATTAGTAAAAGGGCATATTAATAAGCCTAATAAATCTTACTAGCAAGTGCTCAATGAGTTGTGTTTGTCTGTCTGGTGTTTGTTACAAGACCACAAATTATTGTTCAAACCACAGTTTCTAGCTCACTAGTGGAGTGGTTGGTTGCTTAATGTTGCCATGTTTGATTCCAGAAAAACCGGGTTTCCTCGTACATGTCTGGTTCTTAGCTTTGTATCATCAGTTCAAAGTCCAATTGATATATATTTTGTAATGTTAAATCCGTAAATACCGACCAGATGCATAGAAGTAATAATTACCTTGACAACTAGATTTCCTGATATAGCAAAAGTCATATATGCTTATTTTTTTAATGATAAGGGATGTATATATATTGAATAACTTGTATGTTAATTAAGATTAAATTATCTCTTTTTAAATAGTTCTAAGAATATACATTTTTTTAAAAGAATTAATCAATATATGATTATTTTTAGAATTAGAACCACTTGTTTATACAGTCCCTTAGCACTCGTGTATATAGTTGGGAACCCAGCAAGTCAAGCACTCGTGTGAGGTTCGTGCACTCAGACAGAATTTGGGCATGCCATACTTTTATAAGTTCGGGTCATTATTAAGGTTTAATTAATTAATTACAAGATTTCTTAAAAAATAAATTTATGCTGTTGATATTGCCACCCAGCTGCTTGTCATATGATTTTACCGCATGCTTTTGGAGTAGATTTGAAATAAAAGAATGAGAGAAATTGTGTAATATTAGACTCGATGAAAAACATGTGACAAAAGGCAATATTTAAGGCAAAAGGAGAAGTTCTATGGAAAAGGTGCAATTTTATAGTGAATCCCACTATAAGTTGTGCTCTTAACTTCAACTAATTAACTTTTTGCCGGCTACTTGATGTAGATATGCATAGAAGGAATTAATTATAGCCGTATTTTAAAATCATCTTAGGCTGATAAATGAATAGTACGTAAATTGTTCTTATATGAAGAGAGTTATGTCAATTTTACATAATATTCTTTCGAAAATAACTGTCTAAGAATGAATGAATAAATCTTGTAAATTCAGAATATTCTTTCGAAAATAAAAGAATGAATGAATAAATCTTGTAAATTCAATAGTTGAAAATTTGCGAAATACTATTTGGGGGAGAATCTTTTGATAAGATTAATAGTGCTCTTCTAATGACATTCATCAAACAATTTTCTATGATTGCTAGCTATCAACAACTCATAAATGACCATTTGTAAACAAAGTAAACCATACATTTATAACCTATTACAGTATATATATTGAACAAATTGCTGCATCTCTCCCATCTCCAGGTCCAAACTCAAGTGTGTAGCTCATCTAAAAGATATTGATAATTGAAGAAAGAAAGAAACGGGCAAAAAAAATATATGCTAGGGCAGCTGCTCCAAGAAGAGTTTAGTTAGTTTAGCAATATTAGAGCTCTTGAGCCAAGAAGATGAGAGAAAAAATAGTTTAAAGGGGTGGTAGAGAATGGGAGACACAGAAACAGCTCCCACGTTCTCTCCTCATATCTTACTTTCTTTATTTAATAATACTTCCTTTCCCTCCTCCCTCCCTCTCTCTCTCCCCCCCTATCCTTTCCCTCCTCCCTCCCTCCCTCCCTCTCTCTCTCCCCCCCTCCCCCTCCCTCTCCCCTCACACACTCACGCATATAAGTACAAGCCCTCCCAATTGACAAAATGTTGTCTATTTCTCCAAGGAATAAATATATACCCTTTCATCTCTTGTGAACCTCCATAAATACTCTTATCTGCTCACCCTAATCTCTCTCTCCTCTCTTGTTACACCACTATCTTGGTATCAGCTCAAGAGGGCTCGTCTTTTTTTGTTCGTTTTTGTGATCATGGTGTGTCATACTGATCTCTCTCTCTCTGTCTCTTGATCTCTATCTATAGCGAAATTCTCTTGAATATTGATTCATGTACTGAATTTTTAAGTGTCTCTTTTGCTTAATTCTTGTTAATTTTTGTGAACATGGTGTGTTTTTAGGGAACTCAAAAGCCTGCATGGTTGGAAGCGCTTTACGCACAGAAGTTCTTTGTGGGGTGCTCTTATCATGAAACTGCGAAGAAGAATGAAAAGAACGTATGTTGTTTGGATTGTTGCATTAGTATTTGCCCTCATTGTATACCATCTCATCGCTTCCATAGGCTCCTTCAAGTTCGCCGTTATGTTTATCATGATGTTGTCCGATTAGAAGACCTCGAAAAGCTGATAGATTGCTCAAATGTTCAGGTTAGTAGTCTAAACAATCTTAATTTTCTGTCTTGATATGTTGCTCTAGCAAAATTCAGTACGTAGTTTGCTTAATATTAATCTGTTAGCATTGCTTGTAGGCCTATACTATAAACAGTGCCAAAGTGGTGTTTATCAAGAAGAGACCTCAGAACAGGCAATTCAAAGGGGCCGGAAACTATTGTACTTCCTGTGACAGAAGCCTTCAAGAACCCTTTACTCATTGCTCTCTTGGCTGCAAGGTACTCCACCACTCAATTTTCATGCTAAATCCCAATTAGGGTTTTTCCACCTTTGGTGAAATATATATTCATTTTACTACCCTTTTAATTAAAGATCATATCATAATAAAGTTGCGCTCAATTATGATCAAATTTCCACAGATCATCTTCAAAAGAGATAGAAAATGTGGCATACACTAACAATACAAGTTAATTCAACTTAAATGATATATAATTAAGGAGATAAAGAATTATACATGTGTGTGTGTGTGTGTTTGTTCTAGGACAAACCATATTTCTAGAGGGATGTCTCAATTATGATCGATCATTCATTCTTAATAACCTAGCCATATGATAATTAATATATAACATTAAAAGGTTTCTTTCTACGTTTATTGTAGGTGGACTTTGTGCTGAAACATTACAAGGATCTTTCTCCATACTTGAGGAGATGCAACACATTAACCCTGGGGCCTGACTTCTTTATCCCTCAAGATTTAGCTGATGATGAGATGACCAATGAGACACCTCATTCAACAATCGTGGACTCCGATGAGCCAATGAGCTGGTCTTCGAGTTCATCGGGCTCCGAAAACATGAGCATGGCCAGCAGTGAGATTGTACGGAAGAAGAGAAGTGGATTATACGTATGTGCAAGATCAATGAATAAGGTTTCTGATGAGGACATTGCTTCAAACATGAGTAGAAGAAAAGGCATTCCTCATCGATCTCCTTTATGTTAGGAAAATAAATTAAAACAAAAAAAATTATTTATTACCACTACAATTTTAATTAGTTTTACTTGGATATTTTGACTGAATCCTTCACGTTCAAAATGTTCTCGCTCTCAATATCTCATCATCTCTCTTCACTCTTCAACTTAAGTTAATTAATCAATTGATCGGGGGGTTTTGTCTTAATGGCATCACGTGATTCCCAATTCCAAGTTATGGTTTTGTACATTTTTCTATGCTTATATTAATAATTCAAGTCATCAATTCGAGGACCTTATTGTTCCAAACTTGTACAACTCTAGGAATTATATAGTACATTTTCATATTTGTTAATTTCGATCGCATTGGTACACGACATTTGCTTTTACTAGGTAAAGGGGGAAGGGAAGGAGCAATCAATGAATCTTGCAAGCTAAAGTACTCTAATTTCAACAAGACAAAGAAGGTTTGAATTGAACAAATTAACATATATTTTTTTTTAATTATGATTGTTGGCAATTGAAAATTTTACCCGTTTCTTGTCCTGCTGTATTATTATGTTATCTATGTATATTTGGTATTACGATATATAATATTTTTTAAAAGTATCTTTTTCTTAATCTGTATAAATATTTATTTAAAGTAAAACACACCAAATCTACCGTACTCCTAAACACTATATTTTTTTAAAGTAAAATACACCAAATCTACCGTACTCCTAAACACTTGCTTATTTTCTTCCTCATATTTGTTGGAGTATCTTCGTATAGTGACATCTATTTGCATTCAAAACCATTTTCTTATAAAAGTAACCTTTTCAGTAAAGCTTAGAAATCTGAATATGGTTAGCTAGGTTTTAAAGTCATTCGACCTGGCATTTAAAATGGAACATAAATCCCAATTAGATTTATCGACATTACAAACCCCTGAGATTCTGAGCACCTCCTCCTTAGGGTGGGCTTCTTTTGACCGTTACATATATTACTTAATTATAAAACTAGTACTTGTGTTCGTATTAAAAAAAATAAATTAACTGTTTGTATTTTATTTTTGTATTGAAAGGTACTTCAATTATCTTTTTGTTAAAAATTGATTGTTGTTCGACACCTCATTATATCCCATTTATGTAATTATAAAAATAATGATCCAATCGGTGCTTATATTTATTTATTTAGTTTTCCTGTTTCCATTTTTTCTTTTTATTAAAATATTTGTACTAATATTTTTTAAAATTTGAGTAATTGTATCCATTTTTGTTTTCTATTGAAAGATTTGTACTACTATTTCTTCTAATTTTTTTCTTTATGACAAAAAATTGATTTCAAATTATAATTAATTTTGTTTCAAACCCTAAAGGAATAAAAGTTCAAAAATTAATCACAATTAATTAATTATTTATTTGGTGAATTTTATTAAAAATAAAAGAATAAATTTTAAACAAAAATGATAAGAAAACAAAATTAATATAATAAAGTTTTTTTAATTTTATTACAAAAAAATTAAACCAAATTAACCATGTTTTTTGATGGATCTATATTTTTCAGATATATTTTTTACTTGGATCCTCATTGAGAAGAATTAGGGTCAGGTAAATGGTTTAAACAAACCTTGAATGTATTTAAGAGCTAAGCTTAGACATTCATGTGTTTGTGTTTAGTAAGGCTATCAAACCCAATTATACATGGGTTTAATAAGGCTACCAAATCAAGCATTCTTGGGTTAAGCCAAACATTGAACTTAATCATATATTGATCTGGTAAGGTTATCAGACCTGTCTATAAGTTCAACCAAGCTCTGATTTTTCTATTATAACGTCATATATATATTTTTCTCTAATAAAATCAACCAGTCATACATGGATCTGACAAAGCTATTAGACCCAATGTTTTTGGGTTCAGCCAAGCTTCGAGCCCAAACATACATCAGTCTAGCAAAGCTAATAGACCTAGTATTTTTTAAAATCAACCAAGCGTTAAGCTTAATAATAATAAATAAAATTTAAAAAAAATAAAAAAGAAGATTGAATCGTTATATATTCAATTAAAAAGGACAAAATAAATGAACCAATACAACTCAAGTCAATCTCAATAATAACAAGAAGAAGTCACAACAAAGGGAACTCCAGTTTGGTACTTACAACTTGGCTCATGGGCTTTTTATCAAGTCTCTATCGGTTGCTTCTGTCTCCTTATAGGTCTCAACATCAACAGTAGCACTGCTCATCTCCTCCCATACAAGGAAGGCAATAATCTAGGTAGGGTGGCTTTTCAAAAAGCAAAATGTGGTAATTTTATTTTATACTTTACTTGGCCTCGTTAAAAAAGTAGGGTAAGATGATCACGCTTATAAGATATAATCAAATACATGACTCAGATGATAGGATCAAGATAACTTTATATAAAACAAATTGAAAAAAAAAATTGAAGCCCAATTAAAAAAATATTCAAATGAAGCAAGATCCAAAAAAATAAATAGGGTCAACCTGCAAAACCTACAATATGTATCATGAGATTAGGATAATCTCATAGAATAAAGATTAAAAAATAATATGAAACCTAATCAAAAAATTATTCAATTAAATAAGGATAAAAAATAAATAGAGTCAACCCGAGTCTATTTACCAAACTCGTGGTTCGAGTTATGAGATCGGGATAAAGTTATAGAAAGTAAATTAAAAAATACAAAGTTTAATTTTCAATCAACTCAATATTAAAGGATAAAATTTAAAAAAATAACAAAAATAACAAAAACATTATCCATGTCAATATGGGTTAACTTGTTAAACTAACAACCTAAATCATGATATAAGAATAAATTTATAGGAAAAAAAATTATAAAGTTTTGCATCCAACAAATTTAATGTTGAAAGTTAAAAAAAAAAAAAAAACATCTATGAGATTGGTATGTAACCAACATACATGAATTAAGAAATAAAGTTCCAAAACAAAAATTTTAAAATAACCTAATATTGAATAATAAAAATAAAAAAATAAAGATTTGGTTGTTGAAGGGTTAAATTTAAAAATTAAATTAAAAAATTATTCTAATTAATAATGTTTTGTGGATTTGGCTACAATGATTTAGCCACACTTTTTAATGTTTTGAGACTGGGATAATTTTATAGAAAAAAAAATTATGAAGCCTAATTTTTAACTAACTCAATGTTAAAGAATGAAAAAAATTAATTAAAAAATATAAAAAAATCATATTAACCCGAGTTGACTTGAATTTATAGAAAACAAATAAAAAACATTTTAAAATCTCATTTTCAACATATCTAATATTTAATTCGAGAAAAAAAAATAAATCTATGATATTCATATATAACCCATTATAAACAATTTAGAATAATAATTTTTAAAATATAAAATTAAAAAAAAATAATTTTTAAAAGGTTAAATTAAAAAAATAAAAAAAATAAAACACAAAATATTATTCTAATTAATAATATTTTATGGATGTAATAATAATAATTTAGCCACACCTTTTAATATATTGGTACAAGCAGCATTTACATATCCACTTACCACACGTTATTAATTTTTAATAAGGAGACAAAAGGTACTTTCGATTGGAAAAAAGAAAAAAAAAAAAAGAAAAAAAAGAGGCATGCAGAAAGCTCAATCGGACCATGATGTTATTTTAATATCTTCCTTTTGGATCGAGCAAGTGATTTTATAGCAATTTTTGTGTTTTAAAAAAGTGATAATATAGCATTTTATTTAAAAAAGAGAAAAAATGTTCTATAGAATTTAAGTTGTGGGGACTCCAGTATCGGAAATTGTAGGGTGTGATCATGAAAATAAATAACAATTAAGGAAAACCATAAGATTTTTTCTTTTCTTTTCTTTTTTGGGTTTTAATTGCGATGGTGTTTCTCGAGCCAACTTAATATATCAAAACTAATTACCTCTTTGAGTAAGGTTATGAACAACACATCCAAATAGATTTTTAGGGGAACAAAATATATATTTCATATGAAATCAACTTTAATTTAAAGAATATAATTAAAAAAATTAAAACTTCAAGATTTAAACACAAATTTTTTCTAAATTTGATATGCGATTGCCTCCCTTGAGCGTAATTGCCCACATTACAAACTTGTTTTCATAGTTATGAGATTTTATTATAGTAACCTGAAATTCTTATCATAATTCTAAAATCAAATCACTATCCTAAGCATTTACAACCAACGTTATTATTTATTATTAAAAAATAATATATAATCATTTATAAGATATTATTTAATAGGTTAAGTCTTTTAATTGAGAGGGTTTTTTTAATAGAAAATAAGTAATTAATAACATCAATGTATAATGTTGGGAATGAAATACTAAATGTAATATTTATAAAAAGGAAAAAAAAAATTGATTGTATTGTTTTAAGAAAAACGAAGACTTCCAAAGTTTCAAAAGCAAACCCTGGAACAGGAGGAGATTATCTTGGAAAATGAATGGGCTAATGATTTGTGGCCTATAGTCGAAATTCGGCCCTCAAAGGTTGCCCACGAGACTTGGGTATTTATTGGGCTGCGTTTTGTTGCTAAGAGCCCTGGAAAGTAAGCTAAATAGGGTATAAAATGAGGTATGAAGTATTTGACCCACAAATTAATAGCTTAGAAAAAATGAGGAATAAATTATTTGACCCACAAATCAAAAACAATAAACAAAATTTTATAAGTGTTGGCCCAATTTCTTTTAATTCAGGCTAGCCCAGCTACATGATGCAAATTGAACCCTAACCCATCAAAGTCCTGCT